TGTAGTGAATTACAGCGGCTAGAAAGCACACGTGGCAGAAATCATCACTGTAAAATTTCAAGGCAAAGTGGAAGTGCTGCTCGGGTTTTCAACGCCTAATCTCCTTAGGCATAAAATAAATATCTCACCTATAACGTGAGAGGAACTCCGTGGGTTAATTACCACTGGATTTTTAGAGTGAATGGAATAGCTGAGCTGTTACAGGTTTATATTTTGCTGATTTTCACTTCCTCAGCTGCCCTCATTTTTTTCAGTCTATATGCTCAGTTAAACATTTGCTCCCAAGACGTTAAACGGCTGATGTTTTTTCACATACTTATAATGTGATGTCACATAGTTCAGTGAATTTCTACATGATTCCAAGAAAGCCGGGATGTCAGGCTAACCCCACAACATCTGCTGTGGTCCAGGGTAGTCATGTATGGTTGAACAATATGAATCCAATAGGGAAGTCATACTTTAACCCTTGGCCACCAGCTCTCATGGTATAGATAAATCCTACCCTTTCTGTATCATATTTACAATGCAAACTATTTTCTTTTCTGCCTCTATAGTTCCAGAGGGTGAAGAATTAATATGGCAGAGAATATGGCAATGTCAGCCTTAAACTTTTTAGCTTTTACTTTAATTGCACTCTCCAGTCCTCCCCAGAGAATTATTTTACAATATACAGTATGACTTCAAGTAACTCTTAAACTGTACTCCATTACTGGGTATTTCTTGGTGACCGCTGTTTTTTTTCCTTTGAACGTGACTGATGGTTTTGGGCACCCCATTTTTTTCGGCTATCCAACTTGAGAAATACTACCTAGCCTTATTTTTGTAATCTTGCAAGTGGTGTACATGTTAAAAACCCAGCTGGCAGTAAATTTAGACCGGTACTCTTACTTTCTGAAGTGCCAGTTATTCTGATGGATATTTTAAGTTTTCTTCCTAAATAGCTCCAACTAAAACATTTGTCTTTTGATATTATTGAGTCAATTGCAGTATTCTACAGACTGAAACTTTTTTTTTTCCCCCTACAGATAAAGGGATATTTATTATCCAAAGTGAAGACTCTAACTTGTGCATGAAAGTGGACACAGTTGGCCTTCTTCTGGAAGACTGCAGTCAACTCTCAAAAGACATGTTATGGAAATGGGTATCCAATCGCCGTCTTTTCAACATAGGCAGAAGTACCTGTCTAGGACTGAACATCAGTAGACCAGAACAGCCGTTAAGTATGCTTGAATGTGATTCAACTCAATACTCGTTATGGTGGAATTGTGATGGAAAAGCATTAGTTGGTGTGTCAGAGTACAAATTGGCCATTGAAAACAGCAATCGTATTGTGGCCAAAAAAAAATCCACTGACCAGTGGAAACAGTACATGTCCTATGATGAAGACCTTTGTGAACACCCATTTCAAGGTAAAAATAATATGTTGTCATAGAAATGTAGATGGGAAAAGTTTTCAAAAGTTCTTTTGAAGCAAAGTCAGGTGCTTATGATCCCTTCCAGCTGCTATTGTGGTTTGGGACCCAAATTTTGGTGTTTTATATGCAGTGGTTGAGGTGAGCATACCACACAATTGATTTTTTTCGTTATCGGTTGTATGGACCCAAAAAAGCACCAGTATCCTTGCAAACCAGGAAATGCTCATTTCAAATCCTCTATAAAATAAAACAGGGGAACTAAAGATTTGCCGTTGCCTGTCTGCAGCTTTCATTATCAGATAAACCCAAAAAGAGATAACGAAGGATTTGGAATTCCCGTCACTGAAAATCAGTCTGTGATCACAGTGTGCATGAACTGAATGTTTGCAACGTTCAGCACCTGGACTCTGAACGTGCCAAACTTGGGAGCAGAGATCAGGCTTTTGATTAATCCTGCTGTACAGCTAGCGAAGGCGTAGGAATGTATGTCAAGATCCAGGTCTGCAGACCTGAACAGTTTTCCAGGTATAAGGACTAAGATAAATCCTTTTACTACTAACTGCAACAGACAGACCGTACTTTGACCCCTTCCTCGGCATTTCTGTAGAAGGAAAGACTTAAAGTTTGCACAGTGCGTCTCAGACCGGAGCTGTTGATTCTCCCTGTTTGAACTGGGTGCAGATCTGGTCTCAGTGGTTTCCTCTGTAGCTGTAGCTGGGCTTGGCCTCTGCTCTCATCAAAGTTCTTCCTTTGGGACCTGTGATAACTGGGAAAGCACTATAGCATCCAACCTCTTCTTTAAAACCTAGTGGAGTTTATCATTAAGGCCAGATGGAAAATATTTAAATCCACAAAAAGTCTTACACATTTGCTATGTACGCATAGCGAGATGAAAGTAGACCTGGTTTAGCCCTAGTACTGCAACATCTGGGAGAAGATGATCAGCCTTAGGCAGGCGCTTCTAGCCTAGTTTCAGGACCAAAGGAATTAATTGCATTGGCAAAGTCTCTTTCACCTCCAATTTCTATTTTCCTTCTTCTACCTTAGCTTATGCACATGCAAATGCAAGCCAGCCTGTTAGTCCACCCCTTTGGGGGAGCATCTCTGCCTTCAAAGAAAAAAATGTATTTGACTGTGGTAAAAGGTCTATAGCTGTTGAATTTGATTTCTTGCCAGAACTGAGGTAATCCCTTGCACCTCTGTAGCGAGCAGCATGGTGGCGGGCAGACAGAGGAGCAATCCTGATTTATTTATTTATTTATTTATTTTACCAATGTTCTTTGTATCATCTGTTCATATCAGAAGGTTTTAAAGGGGATTTACAATGTGTAAACTGCTTCTTCATATGTGTGCAGCCAGCCATTAACTCTGGAAACCTCTAGGAACCTGGGTAGTATATACTGATTCTGTAGTTGAAGGACTTTGATCTTTAGACTATCAACATGGGATCTTTGACAAACAATTTCGTTCTAAGTGTGATTGTGGTTCTTTGACATTTTGTAGAGGCTCTGAGGTTGAGGAGACACTCATTGAGGTCAAGCTTTTACAGCTTTCAGTTGCATTAGATTCTCTCAATATTTCGGTGCTCAAAGTACAATAGGAAAATATTTTAAATACTTTATAAGGCATTAATTGGTTATGACAACAGATGTATGTAACATCAGTTCTTTAGCTAGATTATTATTCCCCATGGTGTAAAAACTTATTTTTGAACCTTTATTTAATATTTCTTTGTCTTTCACATTTCCTTTCCCATAGAATGACAAAGAGGATGGAAAAAACATTAGAAATCCACTTTATAAAGAGTGAGAGGAGCAGGGGCAATAATGCTAAATTGTTCATCTGTCATAGACTAACAAAAAATAAGTAGTTTGCATCCAAGCGTGTGCTGATTCTGCTAACTAATGTTTTATGTAGTTGTTCTGAAATGTAAGTGCAGATTTTATATGTTAATTGTTCAGGTTTTGGTTTGGTTTTTTTTCAGTTGTAGAAAGTTACGAGGATGTGCCTTATTTCATGGTGACAAATTTCATAAACTAATATTTCCAAATTCTGTTTGCTGAAGTTATGCTGCTCATACTTGTAATGCAGTATTATCAATTAAAAATTAAAATTAGAAAATAACTTTAGACATTTTATTTTTATCATTGCTGCTAAAAATGGGAATAATGAAATATGGGGGTGAAAAAATTTCTGTGGTCTGCATTCTTTTAATCTCTGCATTTTGTTTATTCCAGAAACATACACCTTGCTGGGAAATTCTTTTGGTTTCCCATGCATTTTTCCATTTAAATATAACAACAAGTGGTATTATGAGTGTACCAGAGATGGAAAGGAATTTGACTGGTGTGCCACAACAACTCACTATGAACAAGATGAAAAATGGGGGTTTTGCCCAAATGCTGGTAAGATGTTGCTTGTCTTCTCTCTCCCCCCAAGAGTATCCTTGTTCTTTATTAGTAATTCTAGGACGCACTCCATTTTGGATTACTTCCCTTCTATTAGAGGGGAATGTCTCTTTAGAAAATGCAAAAGAAGACTTTAGTGAATTTTATTATAATTTATCATGTTTGGCCTTTGGAGACCCAAGTCCTCATCCCAAAAGCAAAACTACAAGGGGTGAGCAAAAGGATGTTATTCTGCCCAGCCCATTCACCGTACCCTGCAGCTAAACTTCTCTCTCCTTTGTCCCAGTGATAGGGAGGGAGCTTCTCTGAAGCATGTAAAGTAAGGGTTGCTCTTGCAAAGTCACATTCTGCTTTTGACTGCATTACATCTCACACGTTCCCTTTTTTCTGTGCACTACTTGGACACATCTTGGGCCTAAAACACTCAGAAGCAATAGCTTTAAAAATACTTGCACTCAGGAGGATTTTGGGTGTATAATCTTCATGAATATTCCAGCTTCTTGTGTAAATAAGCAAAATAGCTTCTTCCATCAGCAGAAGTGGTTTGGAAGAGCCCTCCCTGCTCAAGCTGCATTTCAAATCTCTGTTCCAAAGCATCTTAAAACCAGCTGTAAGTGTGTCTTTGTAATGAGGATTTCTGGGCAACCGTTGTAATAGATGGTATTTTCAGCCTTGCTTATACCTTGTAATTATAGTAAGTTTATTCTCTTGAGTACAAGATAGAAGGAGATCCAGTGACTGCTCCTCCACAAGTTGGGTGAGGTGTTCATAGTTTGAATATTTCAACATTCAGCCTTAGGAACACACAATCAGCTGGTATACATTAAAACTGTTGGCTTTGTGAGAGCTGTGAAAATCATCACCAGCTGCAGACCAGCTCCTGAGTATTTTATGAACTGTATGAAATACAGAGCAGCATTTTATTCCGTTACTGTCATATTTCCATATGTTCTTTAACAAAGGAACATGAAAGGAGTTCATAATCGTGCTTCCATTGGGATGCTACTGTCATTAATTAATTGAATTGTTACAGGTGTTATATTTCTGATTAGTTTGTAGTCTTGGGCTGTTGGTGATGGGTCTGTTTCTGAGCAGAGAGCGGCTGTGACGTTTTTTGGAAGAAGAACCCCGACACGCACCTTTGCTACCAGTTCAACCTTGCGTCTGTGCTGACCTGGCGTGAGGCACGGGCTGCCTGTCAGCTGCAAGGAGGAGACCTGCTGAGTGTCACCGACCCTGAAGAGCAGAACTACATAAGTAACTTAAGCAGTGAGTAGACATTTCTCTGGGGACCTTGTAGGAAACCTGTAGTTCGATTTCTTCTTTAGCCGTGAAAAAGGGGTAGACTTTAGAGCTTGATACTCTGTGTGATACCTCTCCCATTGCTGCTTGCGAGGCTTCGTCAGATAACACACTTCAGTAGAGCTGTTTGAAAAAGCAAGGGTGAAGGTAAGTTACCACCTTAATAACCTGAGTACAGAGGTGGTGGTATGTGTTATGTGAAGGTGTAATTGTCTTAATTCTCCCTCCCCACAGAGACTCCCATTCATTCTTGCAGCTGTGGTTGTGGAGTGTGTTTGTTTTCTTTGGAGAATTATACAAATATTTGCCTTCTCTGCAATGTGCCCTGGTGTCCCTTTCTCCTGTTAAGTTTTCTTTGCAAGCTTGAATTCACCAAATGTGAATGACGAGAACGTTTCTCCAGACTTGAAGTAAATGTCCTGTATGGAAAAAATGCCAACTCTGTTTTCATAAATGGATAGTATTCCTTCTCTGATAAGCCTTTTGCTTTCCCCCATGCAGCAAGCATCTCAGACAAATTTTGCAGAGCCTTCTGACAGCATGGCTTTTGTGGGTATTTTAGTGTGCGTTGAGGGGACCGAGTGGAGGAGTGGATGGTAGAGCTGTGACGTGAAAGGCTGCCTCGGATTTCTTGCCCATTGCTACCCATTATTGCTGATTTTCAATTGCAGACTATAAGCTAACAGGAAGTTTTTAGAATTATTTCATTAGCTTTTTGATATGCCTGCAGGCTGTAAAGGGACTGAATGTTTTTTTGTTTACGGAAAGCTGAAACAGGCTAGTGTTTATGTAGCTGCTTGTTCTAGATTTAATTTCTAAGGTCATCAATGACTTCTACAGGAAGGGTTTGCAGGATGAATAGCTTTTGAAGGGTACAGACTTCTGAATTTATTCCTTTTCATCTCTGTGTTGATTAACAAAGTAATAGACTTTTTCTAAGGACAGAAAAAACAGCCTGAACTTTCTGGAGACTGATTTGAAGTTTTGTTTTATTCCTGTTGTACCAAGTCAGGACAGCGGACCTATACCTGTAGATATTTTAACACGTGGGGGAAGTGTGAAGTATTACTTTGTTTATTTTTTCTGTTTCAGGGCAGTTAAATGCCAGGGACGTGATGCTGTGGATGGGCCTGAATCGCCTGGAGGAAGATGCTGGCTGGCAGTGGTCAGATGGAGCACCGCTAGTGTTTGTGAACTGGAGAGCAAGTACTTGATGTTCCTCTTGGATATGTTATAGCAGTGTAATTATTGCTCTCTGTAACTGCAGCTTGATACAAGACTGGTGTTCCTACGCTGCGTTTGAAAAGTGAATCAAGTGAACAAGTGTACCTCTCTTTTTTTGTAGAAATATTTATTCATATTCATGAACTAAAAGCCCCTTCTAGGGACTTGGCATCAATTGAGATGGATCTGTTCAGAGCATTAATGATCTAGCCCTTTTGTCATTTACTTTTAAAGGTGTTTTTAAGATTCCAGTTGCACATTTGAAAGCTATGCTCTAGCTGGTTTCGTGGAGGAAAGGAGTTTCAATTTGTTTACATTAACATGCTATAATTAACATTAGCCCATTAGCATAAGCTTTGTGACTTGGTTTGCTACATTTTGAAGTCCGCCTTTTGAGGCGGATAGACACTAGAGCTTATTTCAGCCTCCCATCTGATAGCAGCAGCCAAGGAAGGATTGCCACACATGTATAAATCATGGTCAATGTTCAGCTGTCCATAGTACTGGTGTAACAGTACTAGAAGTTTGGGTGTGCAGGGATGTTTGTACCTTCATTCAATAAGATGCAGAGAGCCCTACAGCACTATTTGACAAGTAAGAACTGATTTTTTGTAATTTTATGCTTCTCAAAAATGTGTTTGCAGATGTCTCTGATAACCGTTTTAGAGAGAATCATTGTGCAGTGATTAATTCAAAACTGAAGTATGGCTGGCAAAGTTATTTATGTGAATCTGGATTGCCTTTTGTATGCAAAAAATATTTAAATGAGACAGAGCATGAAACATTGGGTAAGTCTCAATGCTACTATATCCTATTTGTGGGTGTGGAAGGAGAACAAGAGGAAGTCACTTGTATATAAAGTCAGCAGAACAGAGTCTTAGCTGGACTAAACATATGGATTTGCTAGTTCAAGTTGAATACAGATTACTTTAACTGATGTAGTAACACTTTTTTCTGTTTAAATGCAAACCTTGAAAACATGTTGAGAGTCTTAAAACTAACAAATAATTTTAATATGCATAGCATTTAATTGGTTCCTTACATGATCAGAGGCTTACAAAATGCTCATTCTCTTTATAGTACAATAGAGCCACACTTTTGAGTTTAAAAATAGGTTTTCACCTTCGAATGGAATTAACCAGTGGCCCACAGAGAAGAAAGTTGTATAAATGCAGTTCAAAATTTGAAGTTACTTTTATGGCATGCTGTACTTTTGATATACAAAAAAAGACCTGTACATATATTTTTTTAAAGTGTTTATATAATGAGTATAGGATATATAGTGCATAGAATGCCTCGGACTCCCATTCTGTGGGAAAGTTAAACTCAGAATTGAGTTTAGAACGTTAATTTTTGGTTTGATAAGAACAACTTACATAGGTTCAGCTTCTTCCTGATAACTTGAAAGAAAGTTTCCCTACTTGTTTCAGATAATGAGAAAGGATTTACCCAAACTTTTTGTAGGTAATACATCTGAAAAAGCTTTCGCTGACTTTGAATCAGGTTCAGAGGTAATACGGGAGTTACAATGTGTTTTAAACTGAAAAACAGATCCATTAGCGTGTTTGCACTAGTCCAGCAGCCCAAATGGTTGAATCATAAAATAAAGTGGGAGAAATTTCAGTTTGCTTGGTAGGTGACGTTCCATAGAGCATGTGTTTTGGCCTCCTTAAGTCATCTTGGACGACGCTGTTTTCAGCATTTAAAGATAAAAAAATAGCTCTGTGTTATAAACATAGCATAACCTTGGCAATTCTATCTAATATACACAAACTTTGTATGCTTAATTAAAAGATACGTGGAAGTATTATGCCACTCGTTGTGATGCTGGCTGGTACCCACACAATCGCAACTGCTACAGACTTCATAAAGAGGAGAAGAGCTGGAACGATGCTTTTATCTCATGCCAAAGTGACAACAGCGGGCTCATTAGTATATCCTCCATGGCAGATGCAGAGCTGCTCCTTAACTTGCTTGAAAGTGGTGAGTTTTGGGAGTTAGTTTAAAGTGCGCAATGTTTCTTGAAGTGTTTTGTGATGCTCTTTTGTGCAGCCCTTTAACATTGTTAGCCACTTCAGCTGTATATTACATGGCATACCCAAATGATGTTTACAAAAAAAGAAAGCATGGTGCATGCTCCTTCCAGGAGTCTTAAAAATGTATAGCATCACCTTCTCCAATAACCATACTTAAAACAAAGAAGTGAATCAACAAAGTAAACATAGTGAGGACACAGTAAATACAGTAGCTTTTGTTCTTTCCTGTTCTTGGCTGGTTCCTTGCAAACTGTTGCAAAATATTGAGTCATCATCCTTATGCAAGAATTGTGCTTAGAAGCAACCATTCAGAGTATCTTTTGCTTTCAAGGTGGCCTTGTCCATGCTGCAAAGTTGCTGCTGCTGCTGCTAGTATGTTGACAGAGTCCCCTTTGATGGCAGCAGGGTGTATCAAAGGAGTTCTACTAGTCCACGTTGTCCTAAGAGGCAGCATAATTACACAGGGAACTTAATGAACAAAAGCTCTTTGGTGCAGCGATGCCAAGACTTTTGTTGTCATAACAGCAGCAAAGAGAATATTTTGTGCCTCCAGCTGACACCAGTGTGCTGGCAGAGCTGCACAGTTTGGCCATGAGTTTAAGCTTCCCAGAGCTGGGGCACAGTGATGTGTTTTATCAACTCTGTCCCATCAGCTGTGGTTGCAGGATGGTGTGATACACTGGATTTACTGGACATCATCTCCCATTATCATCCCTTTTGCGACCCATCCTCTCTGCTGTCCTGTCTGTCTTTCTCTTAGGAGATTAACCGCTGTATCATCATCTTCACCTCTATTAACTCTCTCCACAGATACCAAATACCATAATTTGCAGAGATGCTGTAATGGATAGATGTAATTGTTCTCAGCTTGTATTCAGCTTCAAAGTCTGCTGCTTCTATTTCAGACCTGCTTCAGGCTTCTTCTCAGGAGGAGGGCTTAACATACCTGAAAGCCTGTCTGCTTTTTCTGGCTGTAGTAGCTGGTCAAGTAAGACAGGTCCAGTAAGACATTACATCAAACCGCAAACCTTGCCTTTCCTATGTTTGCCAGCCACTGTGGCTACAACCGTGCTGATGCTGGAACTTACAAACATCACTCAGAGAAGCCTAAAGCTGCGAGTGCCATGGAAGATTATAAGAAGAGATCTTTCTCTTCCATGTCAGGCTTTCTGCCCAGTGAACTTCAAAAAAGTGCATATGCTCTTGATTTGTATTTTTCAGGATTTCAAAGCATATTATTGTGTATGTTGATCTATTTTGGAAACAATTTAGTCTTCAAGGGTAGTAGAACATTATCTCATCAGTAAGGTTTCCTAAAGTTTATACAGCTTTTTTTTTTTCCTGAAAGAAGGTAATTCTTATGAAAATCCCATGAATAATTTTTAATGGTGGTGTTGATGTTGCAGGAACAACAAGCATTATTTCTTCACCATTAAAATCTGAACTCACTTATTCTTTTACAGAAAATGTAACTGAAACATGGATTGGGTTATACAGTAATAACACCCCCATTGTTTTTGAGTGGTCAGATAGCACCCCAGTAAAATTCTCTAACTGGCACAGCCAGGAACCTAACACCTTTCAAAGAACAGGACAACTCTGTGTTTCAGCACAAGGATCTGTAAGTTTCCTTTTCTTTTTGAAAGAATTAGGCAGACACTTTTATTTTAGCTCATAATAATTTATTTTCTCACTGTGTGTACTTTTTTAAACCTTGACCTGTAGTATGACTTTGGTTTTTGATTCCTGATATATTCATGTTGTGATAAATGCAATGTAGCCTTTAGAAACCAATGTATTTTGCAGCACTGATGCACAGAAAATTAATCATAGATTTTGAACTTATGTTCAATAAAAAAATGTTCTACTTAAAGGTAGCCAAATGGAAGAGAACAAATATGAGTAGGTATTTTGATAAAAACAAAACAATTTAAAATCCAAGTGTGTGTATCAATTTATGATGCATCAGTTCTGGTCTTGAAAGCTTCAAATTCAGTTTTGAAAAACTGTCAGCTGTGCCTATTTTATCTTGCTGTCAATATTTATAAATTTTACGCAGCATCTTTCAAAAACAGGTAGTAGTCTAGATCTACAGAAAATTATAGAAGTTGACAGCAGTAAGATTGACCCCAAATCAGTCAGGTGGTGTAAAACTGGGAGTGATGTTCAAATAACGCTGTGTCCTGTCTTATTGGTATTCATGGCACTGTCAATTTTTTCATAATTTGGTTATAAATTTACTTTACTTTTACAGTTAACAATACTTATATTCAGTAATACATGACTTACGTAAGTAGCACTATAATCCATTTTCTTTTTGTAAAGTATGTTCTGTCTAAGTGTGAAAACTGTATCAAAAAGAGTTTCTGTTGTCTCTCTAGTAGTGGGTCCAGGTTGTAATCATTAACTCATGGGAAAGCCAAGACAATTACAGTGACCTGGAAAAGTCGGTTCCCACTGGAAGTAGAAAATAGGACTTTGGTGAAATTGTGGGTTTTAGATACCCAAAACCATATTTTACTCAGTTTGCAAGTGTAAACAAACAAATGAAAATGTAAAATACAAAGGAAAAGGAGGTTCAAGATAAAATTCTTCAAGCATTATTTTTGGTACATGTCCAGTGTGTGTAGATGTCTGAAAATTGTATCATACAAACTTTGTAATATTTTGAGTAAGGACTGTTCAAATATAAAGATTAATCTTCTGAAGAACTATAATAGATAGGCAGAAAGTTCCTGTCTATGCTGAAGAGTAAGTGCTCTGGCATGGCCATAGTTGTTAGTCAATTAAGATGCATTACATCCCAGAGTGATTCAAAGAGACAAACCCTTTTGTATGATTGATTTGAAAAGTCCTGCTGACAGTGTTGATAGAAATAAATGGTCCATCGAAGGATAAATAAATGAATAGAGTGAGAAAAATTACTTAGTTTTACTGAAAAGTTAAAACAGGAGGGGGGACTGTAATCTAATGTGTGTATAGAAATGCATGAGAATATAAGTATGTACAGAATATACTTCTTTTTTTCCATTAGGAAGGACATTGGAAGGTTAAAAAATGTGAAGACAGATCTTTCTACATTTGCAAAAAAGCAGGGGAATTTAATAATGTCTCTCCTGAACTGGAATCAAGTTGTCCAGAGGTAAGGGGGTTTGTGGTTTTTGTTTGTTTTTAGAGACTTACTAATAAAATAGAATTATATAGGAAACCTCTAAATGTAGCTACGGAACATATGGATGTAAATAGATAATTTTAGTTTTTCTTGTTAATAAAGACATGCATGTTTTGCTAGGAAAAATCTCATTGTTTGCCTTAAAACTATATAAACTAAATTTTAATGTAAGATTAAAAGCTTTCCCAAGATGCCTTTCATGGCTTGTTGTGTTGTCAGCGGTTGTGACCCATGTTCCTATTTCTTTCTAGATCAAAAGTGAAAACCCTTTTGTCCACCATCTGTGCAAATAATGGCTGTTATATGATGCCTCATCCCACACATGGTTTTCATACATTGAAATGGAATGTCAGGGTGAAAAACAATCAGTTTCATTGACACAGAGAGTGAACTCTTCCACTCGTACATTAGCATTCCTTTTGCTTTCACACACAAATGGGAAGGAGCACAGCTATCTAAATAGGACATTGCAACAGGTTTTCAGGCTTTTAGGCTCTGCATTCTGGTAGTAAAAGGTAACATGTTAAAGTATGGGTTTATTTGCCATCAGGTCCTTTTCACAGTGTGAAAAGAGCAAACTTTTAGACTTTGTGTTTTATTCAAAACTCTGGGGAAGTTTTGTGAACCTCTTCCTCTATCGACAAAAATCTCTCTTCTCGAACTTGCTTTACTCTTCAGCTCATTGTTTTCCTTTTTTAATTTCCTGTCCTTTTTCTTGAGAAGTCAAGAAACACAACGAGTTCAGTTGAATTACAAGACGGTTGAAGCTGAACTCTTTGGAGTTGGGTGCCATCTTTCCCCAGACGTACAGTGGTCAGACCCAGCATTCTGGTCATACCGTTATGGAGGCAGAAGTTCCAGCTTAACATTTCCAGAAGTTTAGGGTAACGGCATTCGTTTCATTTGGACCAATGTATTTCATCACTCAAGAATTCTGTGTGTTATTAGTGTAAGAAAGGTTTGTCACAGTCCTGACCATGTGAAAAATGTGCAGAGCATCAAGACTTCCAGCTGTAGTCAGGAGCTTGACAGGATGTCAACTTCTGGTACCTCACAGGATCGAGACTCGAGATTGAGTCACTGGTAATAGGTAGTTTGGTCTGTTCGGGCAAACTTGCTACTTAGGATAAATTTCTGCTTGTTAATGTTTCATACCCTGTAAAGACATATGCTGAACCCTGTTATAGTCCCTTGGTTTTGATAGACCCTTTTCTTTCCAATGTGGAAAAAAAGTTACATTCATTTAATCAAAAGAAGTCAGTACTAAGCTTACTCAAAGCTGCATTTGATTTCAGACATTTTGTCTTGACACCTCACTTTCTTTTAACACTCAATGTATATGTTGTTGCTAGTTACAGGCCTGATTTTCCAGGACTAAGTCTTTATGTCATCCAGATTTACCTCCCCCCCCCCCCATTTTTCTGTTGCTGACCTACCTTAAATGTACAGAATATCTGTTGGCGTTTCTCACATTTGATCTTTTGCTTCGTTAACCTCGTACTGTTATTCATGTTGGATTGCTAGTAGATTCTCAGGGAGCTTTGGCCTCAGGCACAGTTGTTTGCTTTTCTAAAGCTTTATAGTCTTATGTGTTATTACTGAGCTTTCATCTCATGTTGGTTTTACAACTTATGCATCATATGAACTAGCCTTTAACATTTTCTGTGGTTCTGCTGATTGCAGTTTTTACAGTATGTCCATATCAAGTTACCAGAAACCTGAGCTCTTTTTTTCCTACACTTCTGTCATCCTAAGACATAAAAAGTGCTAAGCACTTTCTTCCTTTAGCAGGTCAACTATTCTTTTTTCCTAGTCAGCAGGCTATTACTGAGAATAAGTATTTTATTGCAAAGGTCAGATTCTCTGGGCAGTTTTCCCCAACACTGAAATAACAGTTTTAAGCATTTTCTTTCAACCAGCTTTTGAAACAGCTTGTGGAGCTGTCAGCTCCTTGATAATCGAGTTGGAGGTTTCTGTGTGCAGAACTGACTGTATTTGTACTGGTGACTTTCTCTGGTCCTCTACACTTTAGTTAGTGCATCAAAAGATAACAGTGTAGTACTAAATTGAGCATCTGTCTTTATGACTGTTGTAACAGGAGAGAATTGTACTTTTCAGAAGAGAATTGTACTTTTCAGAAGAGAATTGCTATTAAGGCTGCAAAACCTCGTAAAGAGCAGAAGGGCAGCTGCTCAGAATAAGGGTCCATCTGGCCTCATGTTCTGCCTCCCACAGGTGGCTGCAAGTGATGTTTGGGGAAGAGCAGGACAGGGCAAATACAGATAATACTTCCCCTGGTTTTTCCCTTGACCCCCAACCATTCAGGGGATTTCCTGAGCCTTTTAAGAGTTGTGTATCTAACAGCCCACATTGGGTATCCCCTCCAAGCACTCGTCTGGTTTCCCCTTGAACTCACGTGAACTCTTCGCATTCACAACATTACTTAGTGAGGACATCGATAAATCTACTACCCTTTGAATGAAAAAATGCCACCTGCTTTCCATGTTGAACCTTCCTCTTGCTAGCTTAGCTTTCTTTGTTGTCCTCAAGGTCTTGTACTGAAGTAGTCACCCACCTTCATGGCTCTCACCATTTTGTAGACCCGTGTCACACCCTCCCTAAGGCATCTGCTTTTTCCAGGCTGAAGTGTCCCAGCCTCCTCAGTTACTGCTTATGTGGAAGCAGCTCCATACATTTCATCATCCTTGATGCCCTTCTTTTCTAATATTCTTTTCTGAGATTGGAAGTCAGAACTCAAAAAAAGGGCAAAAAGTGAATTTAAAAGGACAGAGTAACCTTCTCTGTTCTTTCTCTCCTCACAGTTCTTAAGGTTCAATTTGACTTTTTGACTAAGCTGATGTTTCATGGATCTTAACTATCATAACCCCCAAATCTCATTCCCGCACAGGGAGAGTGAGGTAGCTGTCCCTCACTTCACACATGAAATGATTGGGGGGTGCAGGGGAGGTCCCCATGTGCATCACTTCATATTTATCCGTACAGAATGCCATCTGCCATTTTATTCACCAATTGTGCAGCCTTTTAAGTTTGGAATTTCTCAATCTGTGTTTGCCCCCAATGCAAGCTTACTGGCCTTCAGGTACTCCACAATTTTGTTATTTTTTCTTAAAGTAAAGATTAGCTTCAAATTACTTTACTCCAGTCTTTAGGCACCAAGAAAGCTTTAAGAGGAAGGTTATGCAGTGCTGTTTGCTCCAGATTAAGATTTCCGAGAGGTCAGGATGATTGTGTTTGCTTCATTCGAACCAGTGCATTTATCACTCAAGAACTGCAGTTGAAGGAAACTAGACATTTGCTATTTCTTACCCGCATCCCCATAGAGGGTTTTTTGGTCAATAGTTAGCCCTCTTCCAGCCCCCATTCCCTGCGTTTAAGCGCACATCAAAGTGAAAGCGGCGTTGCTGTGTCCCCCGTGGGACTGCCGAGAGCCCACTGGGTCCCCGGCCGCTGCAGAGCCCTCGGCACCCGCCGGCGCGTTCTTCCCTCGGGGGGGTCCCGGCTCGTTGGTAGGGAGATAGGGAAGAGCCTCAACCCAGTTTATTTTTGTTCGCAAAGCCAGCATCTGAGCAACGCGTACGTGGCATTTTCAGGTGAAACCGCAGAAACTGATACTACAGCTTGTTTTGCTTCTCTGCTTTCGTGCCATACAGAGGGCTGTGCCCAGCCGTCTTCCAGGCACTGGAGGGGGATGATAGTAAAAGGCAGCAGAGCTGTCAGCTACCCTGACAGCAAACACTTGCCGAACTAGAAGCTGAAATTTGCCTCCTCAGATTCAGCAGGGCTGAAGGTTGTGCATAATGTTTGATTGCTGTCCTGAATAAGTCTGCGGCATCTTCTTGTACATTTTATTGTACCCGAGGATGGATAGCAGAAAAAGAGCTTATCCGTTTCCCCTTTTTTCTCCTTTTGCTGTTAACGTCACCATCGAGCAGTGTTTGGTGGTGCCCGCCTGGGTGCTGTGCTTGCTCCCCGTTGTGCTGCTTTGTGCGCTCCCCTGCAAGCAGCACCTCCCTCATGGGAGAGGCAAAGCGAGATGGGCTGATTCTCCTGTCTGTGTGCGGCTTCAAGTTTAGACAGAGATGGTTTGTTATCTCTTAATTCTCTTGATTTTAAAACACTCATGCAGGATGACCAGGCAGGTACGCCGCGTGAACTCACACAGGCAGAATTCACACCAGTCCTGGTGGCACTTTCTGGATGCCCAGAGATGAATAATAAGAAATAAAAGATTAATAAGAAGAAGAAGTAAGGCAGGCTGACCACTGACCCAGTGTTCTGGCTTATCTGATAAACCATGAAAATGTGTCATTTTAATTCAGTATTATTAGAGTAGGATGATTGTTAATTTAAATTTTATTTTATTTTATTTTGGTTTATTTTATTTTATTTGCAAGTTCTATTTGAAAATGAGAAAGGGAGCTGAGAAAAGGTAAATAACTAGAGTGCATTGCTGTATGAAAGGCCAGCAGTTTCTGGAAGAAATATTTCTGTTTACAGTTGAAGACAAAGGGCAGCTGTAATCCTTTTTATAACAACTTAACTGAATCTGACATGGTGCTGTTTACCTTGCACTTCAGGTATTAGGTATCAGCAGTGAGTTACCACAGGTGGAAACCAGCAAGTGCTACTACACGCTTCATGCCAAAGAGATGGCTGTCTGAGGGGCCTGGCATACCTCCCCAAAATCTAGTCAGTAAAACAATATTCAAAGTATAAAATTGAAACAAAAGTAGTATGCGGGAGAGCGCCTTAGCTGTTGCCCACATTTTTGTCATACCCGTTAAAGATGTTATCGTGTGTGTGTGTGAAGCCAGGTTTTGCACAATTTGAGGATTTAAACTTGAAACTTTTGTTAAATTTACCCACTTTTTCAGTGACCTTGAGGGTAACTACTCTTGAACCACGGTAGAAAGGAAAAGGGCTATAGGGACATCCATGATGATCAGACAGAAAGTACAAAAGGGGATCAAGTTTTTAACAACTATATAGTAATTAATAATCTATAAAATAATGTTCATTTCTTTTAAGGGATGGGAAAGACATGGTGGATATTGTTACAAAATCGACAGTACCCCTCGAAGTTTTGAACATGCTTCCAGTGGTTATTTCTGCCCATCTGCACTTGTATCAGTAACAAACAGGTAGTTAACCCTATTAGAGAGCGTGAAGATACCTCTAACAAGAGCTATTCTAACTTTAGAAAGTATTGCATGACAAAAGATATTACCTTTATGAAATAATATTTGCGTGGGAGGCAAACATAATTACTAACACCAGCTAAAATCAAAGGTGTGCTTTGCTTTATTTTTTAATTGAAAATAAATTTAGTAAAAAGCAATTGTTAGGCTAATAAACACAGCAGTGTGCACACATTTGAGCATGCAGGAATCTAAACAAAATGCTTTCTAGGTATGTAACATCTTTAAGAAACTTATTAGTGTGCTTGGAAACTATTCTGAAAATGAAAATTTATTTAATTTTTATAATAAAAATACATCAAATGTAAATCCAAATCAATTAACATTTTATAAATGTTTCTATTTATGTATGCATTTTACGTGAGTTCTTGGCAAATAGGGGGAGAGACTAAATGTTTGAAAGCATTTGAGGTCTGTCTTCCCTTGCTTTGTTCCTGTTTACCTGTATTCCAGCTTCAGCTTCAGCAAAGGCTTTCTCCTCTGCAGATGTCCAGATGCTTGGGTTTTCTCTGCTGTCTTTGTGATTTACCCTGTATGTTGGATTCCTATTAAAGTTTGTAGACATACTGATAGATATATTACATGCATACTTTAACCTCCACGTATTTATTGTAAAAAAAACTGTAAGGAGGAAATCTCCCCTCCCTTTAGGACAGGGGAGGTACTGTAACTGCCAGCAATCAGATGAATGATAGCTAGAAATTTTAGGAAAACACAGGCTACCCCACAGAAGGATTTGCATCAATGGGAATTTGGCTTGCCAGGTGGTTTCAGGGTTGTGCACAATGCATACAGTGCTGTACTGCAGTACAACAGTAATCCTTATGGGTAGGATAAAGGACAAATTCTTGCAGCTGAGCATTTGCAGCTTAAACGTCACAGGGAGCTGAGGGCACTCTGCACATCACTGGAAGCACGTCTTCCGTTTTTTTCTGCTTATTTCTTTTTATTTGATTTTTACTGGGTGTAGCCATCACTGTTTATGATGTTAGTTCCCAGTTCCAATATTGGGAGGGGCAGAAGAAGCTAGTTGTTAGTTTAGCTTTTTTTTAAATTACTGCTGAGGTTTGTTGTTCTGGTGTGAAAAATGCAAAAACTTTTCAGTGTATTGATACTAAAAGATTCATTAAAAAGTAGGTTGTAGAGGAAGGAGAGTTGATATAAAAAGAGAACATGCAGAGGAAATGAAAATTAAATAAAAGTTTTCAGTCACTCTCAGTATTACAGATACATTCAGTTTTTTACATTAATGTCATCCTTGTGGTATTAGACATTCTTTTCACAATGTGTGAAACCAAGAAGTCATATAAGTCTTTACCAAACTGGGAATTTATTTTGCTGTATGTATTTTCATAGGAAGCTGATTAAATGTGCTCATAAACTGAAGCATTTTTGTATAATGCTATACCAATTATATTTTAATAAATTACATTTAAGTGACCAATGGGTTACTATATGCAACAATTATTACTTGCAAAAAGGTGTAAATCTCTCGCATAACTTTAATGAAATTAAAGAAGGAAAAAATGATTCCTTCTGTAGTCAGATCAGCTAGTGCTTTGAGTCTTTCAACTCTGGTTTCTTAGTGCTGGTTTGTGTGTCTGGTTCCCATAGGATACTTCTGTGCAGAGCCTTTTCTTTCTTCTGTAGCTTTTTTGGACCCCGCTATCTTTTCTCCTTAATACAAGGAGTTTCTTATTTTTATTTGTGCATTATTCATATATTCTGTCTTTACATTTTGTAGTTCAAGCATTGAGCTTGTAAGATCTTAATCTACTGCTGCTTCTGTGTGCCCAAATGCTGAAAAAAAAGTAGGGAAGATATAGTATGGTTTATGCTAGAGACTTATGCCTGAAGTTCCCCACAGCATTCTATAAAGAAAATTAAGTATCTCTTACATATTTTTTTCTTCTCGCATAACTTAAATCATTTCATGAGCTATTCACTGAAATACCTATTAACCTATTTTATTCAATAAAGTTTTTGTCTTTATTATTTTATTAAGGTTTGAACAAGCTTTTATCAACAGCATGATCCGTAGCATGGTAAAATCTGAGAGAATGTATTTTTGGATAGGATTGCAAGACCTTAACAACACAGGAGAATACTTTTGGCTAAGTACAGCAGGAAATAATCACTCTGTGAGATACACAAACTGGAACAAGTACCAGCCACGTGAGTAACATGCTGATAGAAAAAGAAACGGCTTGGAGGGGGGCAGTGCACTCTCTTCCCCCTGCCACCAGTGGCTTAGCAGTGACTGAAGAGTCCTGGTCCTTTCCTCCCTGCCTGGCCAAGAGAGCAGAGAGTTAAGCTTACATTTTTTATCAATTCTGTAACTTCCTACCATGGATTGAGTTAGATGAGCTGGCAGTTGTGGAGAAGCCAGAGCTTCCCTCCCCACTTTGCACTCGGGTGCTGTTATCGTGGGCTCCCCGGTTGTGGCAGGATGCTGGACGTCACTCTTCCCACCCTCTGGTGCGGTGGGGTGGAAATTAACAGCTGTGCTCTCCTTGCAGACACAGCTAATCCCTGAAATTTTTCTTTTTCTGTGCGATGTTTTTCATACATTTCTTTATGGCCTTTTCAAGGACCCCATCAGGGCTTGCTGAGAGTCCGAGCAAAAGATCCCAGAGAAGTCATGAATTTTATCTGGTAACGGTCACAGTTTGTAATTTGCATTTTTTATGAAAAAAGGAGGGCAGAGATTGCCTTAGATACTTGGTTTGCTTGTTTGAGTTTGTTTGTTTTATAGTAGTCCAAAGGAAAACATTCCAAAAAAACAAATAACAAAAAAATGAAATAGTTGTTCAACCTTTGAAATGTAAACCTCTTGGCAATACCTGAGAATAGAGACATAATAATAAAGACACTCCATTTCACTAAGTGCTTCTCAGTTTGGGGCTCTTTACGTTTATTGCTTCACTACTGCAGTTAGCGAAAGTACTATTTTAAGTTGTATTTCATCTGCTGCGTTTTGTGAGAGGAACCCTTCGTCATGGTTCATTTTTACAAGCTCAAGTCAGCCAAGACAGGCTTACAAACCGGTCACTGACCAGAGAATTTGCTACTTCTGTAAGTCCATCGAGGTTTTATCCAGAACCTGATGCCAATAAAACAGTCACTTCACCAAAAATTCACAAAATTCAAATGCTTTATGCTGATACTCAACACTTATTCCCCTGTCTAGGTCATTCTGGAGGATGTGTGGCTATGCGAGGTCAGCACCCTGTTGGTTATTGGGAGGTGAAAAGTTGTAAGAACTTCAAAGCAATGTCATTGTGCAAGCAAAAAATCAATTCTTATGAAGAACCTGAACTTACTTTTCAAAAACATTTGAGTTCCTGCTATTTTGGATGGGAGTCAGAAGCTAATCTGCTCAACTGCTACAAGGTATGTGACAAACTTGCTTTGAATTAATTGTTACCATCCTTCACTGCACTTTAAAGTGAGTGAGAGTCTTAAGAATCAGAACTGCACTTGGAATATACGTGGCTTTACTATAGGAAAAACTGCAAATAATATTTGATTTTTATGGGTTTCTGAAACAACTGCTCTCCAAAATCAACTACATTTATGACAGTGTTTATTTTATTGCAGATATTTCACAATGAAAAAGTTCTGATGAGAAGAACATGGGAGGAAGCAGAAGCGTTATGCCAAGATTTTGGAGCACATCTTGCTAGTTTTAGCCATATCTATGAAGAGACATTTTTAAACAATTTATTATACACAATTTTTGATAGGTAAATGTATTTTTTTAACACTAACAAGATTTATCTTAATCATACTAATACGTAAAAATAATCTACACTTTAGGTTCTTCTATCCTCTTTACTAGTGGCTGAAGAAGTCTCTAGCAAACTTAGAAATGGGTGAAGTGTATTAGCAACACTGTAATACGATTCTTTTTGAAGGTGATCTTTGTAGTAGGTGTTGAGCAACTGTTAATGTCAAAGTGATATTCTTGTGTGTTAATATTCCCTGTTGAAATGGAGGTTTGGAAATTTTAATCCTGTTTTAAATGTTTTCATCTTTAAAAGTATAATTTAACGCTTTAGTAGGAAAACCAGAGTTTACTTCAAGGATACTAAAAATTTAAGAAATGTATTACAGAATGATATATTGAATTCCAGAAGAAATGAATATGGGTATTTGCACTATTTAAAAAATAATTTCTGAAGTAGCTAAGGAAAAAGTGCATGAGAAATGTTATTTTCTTTGTTTCCATCACAGGACAGAAGACAGACAGTTCTGGATTGGATTTAATAAAAGAAACCTGCTTTCTGGAGGGACATGGCAGTGGTCTGACAGAACACCTGTAACTATCTGTATACTATATATTTAGTAACCTTTCAAGTCATATCTAAGCATAAGTTCACAAAAATAAGCCTTGTGAGCAAACATTGGCCAGGAAAACGGTTTGGTTTTCCTGTCCGCATATTTCACTTAAAGTAATTGTTACAATAGGATTAATGGTACACTACTATTAAAATAGCAGCCTGTGCAAAAGGGCTCTGCAACTGCAAAAGGAGTTTGGTAGGATTATAAAGTTTTGCAGATGTGTGCTTTCCTGCAAAGCATGTTGTGTTTAGTCCAGGACCAGGCATATGCAGAGTGAACACATTGTGTGTGTGTGTATATATACATATTTATGGGCGTACACATGCACACGCGTTGGAAAGCCTGAGAGCTGTGCTTAGGTGCTTTATTTATTATATGACTGTTAGGTTCATGCCTGCATTCAGAGCTAAGTCCTTCCTTTTTTTAATACCACTTTTATTGAAGGCATTGGTGCCACATGCCACACTAATGGTTAGTACCTGGGATTTAAACATCGAACGACTGAAGAAGGGTCAGTTTTTAAACTGTAATTGGTTTTCAGCCTTAAAGAACAGTGCCAGCTCTGCCATCATTACTTAAGTAATTTCAGAATGTGAGTGCAAAGTTCAATCATGCAATGTGATGAACCAAAGCAAAGGCTGTTAGAAGTGGGCAACTACTGCTAATCATGTCAAAAAATTGGTAGGTTTCATAGCTATTCAATTATTTTTATGAAGAAGAAGTCTGATATAAGATGGGAAAGTTGAACAAGACATTGATAGAACGTGATTATGGACCCTTTATTTTGGATTTTACCACCATAATTTAGGTGGTCCTCTAGTTGTTGCTTAAGATGTTACCATACACACATCTCCAAATCCTTCCTTTTTCTCCATAGTGAGATTTTGAAATGCTTCATCTGAGATTGTTGGTGAAAGGTAATGAATGTGTTGTTTTCAGGTTGTATCTTCATTTTTGGAAAGCAAGTATGTTGAAGATGACTCAAGAAACTGTGGTGTGTTCAAAGTAAATAGAACGGTCTTTCCAGCACACTGCAATGAAAAGCGTGAATGGATATGCAAAATACCAAAAGGTGAAATGTTAATTAACATACATCGTCTATCATACCCATTACTTGCAATTCAGGAGAGACAAGGAAAAAAAATACCTAAAAGCTTGCTTTTTAGCCACATCTCGAGTTCTCCTCATTGGTCTTCTGCATGAAATTGTGGCAAAGCTATATGTGGCCATTAGGGTTTGTTTGCCAGTTAACAGGTCTAATATGTGCCATCAGTTTCAAAATGGATAGCAGTGATTAGCAGTTAGTTAGCAGGAGTTAATCAAAGTTCTTATTTGTAAAGGTTAGTAAAAATGTTAAGTGTGGCAATTATTTTATTTTATTCCATGTTTAACACTTTTTTTTTTGTCCCTGAATGAGAGTAGCAGTATTCTTCATGATTTTGATTAAATCCTTATCATATGGAGAAAGCAATTTCAGTGAAATACCTCTTTTCATTCTTAATCAGCAATGTTTTAATTTATTTATGTATTTTTACAGGTGTTAAACCAAAGAATCCAGATTGGTACATAGCTGGTATGAAAACATTTTCTTTTTTGGCATCTTGAAACATTACAACTTGGAAATACAATTTAAGCTATTGGTAAAAATAAAATAACTAAAATATTCCGAGTTAAAAGTTTACATTAAGAAACTCTGTAGGAACTGGTTGCTACAGATCAAAATCTGCTACTCTTTTGTTTAGGAACACTGAAACATCAGATACTACTTCAGTTGGGTAAAGGAATGACACCAGTAATAAGCACAGGAGTTTGATAACCCCTCCATCACGTTAAAACTGCCTTTTTGCAAAGGCAGGGCAAAGGCTTAATATTACTGCAGTATCACAGGATAGACTATTTTAAAAAAATTACTCATAGTGCATTTTGTTTTCATAAATTGGTATGTTAAATATGGTTCTGCTGTTAGTTGTGGCATATTTGTACTCTGACACATGGCTGAAGGCGGGCCACGGGGGTCACAAAGAATGAGACTTGAAATGAGTTTTTACCCCTGCACACCACTGACTTTTTTGCTTGTTTTCTAGAACTGCCGTGGATGTATTATCAAGGAGCAGAATACCTTTTCCATGTCAGTCCTACGGACTGGGAAACCTATGAGTTTGTCTGTGGCTGGCTTCGCAGTGGAATGGCAACAATAAATTCCTCTGGTGAACAAGCCTTTATTCAAAATAAAATTAAGAAGGTAACAAAAACTACCCTCAGGCAGTAACTGGCTATTTTCTGCTACATTTTTTGGAATATCTGGCTGTCTGTTGCTCCAGGTAGAATCCGAAAGACATTTTAATTCAGAAATAATTCTCTTGCTGTCTTCATTTATCACATCCTTCCCTGAAGCCCTATCTAGCTAAAGAAGTCAGTAACATTTCAGAATCTGCAGAATCATCTCTGCTAATGAGCAGGCCGGTCATTCTGCCTCAAAGGACCCAAGAGGATCAAAAACCAGCTTCCTATCCCAAAGTAATGAAAGTAATTAGGGATAAAGAGAAAGGATTGTTTCACACGTGGTGTACATCCTTCTCTGTTCCTTCTTCTCCCCCCCCCAGCTCCATGACCAAGGGGACCCACTCTGGTTCCTGAGGTGTTCACACAGTGGTTCTGCATCCACCAGGATGTCTCCTGGACCTGCACAGTTCCCTGGTTATGCTCCATTCCCATTCAGTAACTTGCAGCTGGTCATCAGGTAGCAATACTGAGGGACATTTCAGTGGGTATGTTAGCGTGATGTGGGCAGTAAGTCCATATGGTTGCAATGGTCTTCATAGTTTAAATCTTCAACATGATGATTTGAAAGATTATTCTTGGGGAGAGCTCGCCAAGAATGAAGAATTACCAATTTCTCTGCACCTTAATTATAGAACTCTAAACAATGGATGTGGGTACTTATGACCATGGAAAAGAGATTACCTTTTCCTCTGTGTACACCAGCTTGGGCAACATTCCCATGTATCCACACATCTGTATGATGTTTTCCTGAAGTAAAACCCTTTGCGACTATGGATATTTCTCTGGGAAAAAAGATATCTGCCTCTAAATTCCCTCCTCTGGACAAAAGCAGAATTTCTGTAGAACCACTCTGATGTAACAAACAGCTTTGAAGCTGAGAAATAGCTGCAGAAGCAGATGAATTCCCAAGAAACTAAGTCTGTTTTCTTTTAGGTGTTCTCAGTAAAAGCAAAATAAGGAAAATAAAAAAAAAGAGAGAATAAAAATAACACATCTGCCTTACTGAGGGCAAAATTCTACAACTGTAATGTAAAGGGATATCATAGTGTGATCTTTAAAAGACAGAAAAGCTCTTGACCCACACTTGGCTTTGCTTGCACTGTGTACAGCCTTCTCTGCTTTTAACTTACAATAGAAAGCATAAGTAGAATTGTGTTGTATGGGGGTTTTAAGTTTCCAGAGAATTATGTGTCATTTTTATCTGCTATTTAAGTAATTTTGTATTAAAACATGATGAACTGGATTTAAATCAACAGTTCACGGCAAAAATAACTTATAATGAAAGAGCAACATAACTGGCTAGGCTGTCTTCTTCTACATCTACCAGAGATTGTGATGTGATGTCATTACTGCCTGACCTAACACTAAATGTTTATGACTTAAAAAATGATATAGCTTTAAAAAAAGATGTATTTTTCTAACTTAAGATCACTTAAAATGGCTAATCAGAATGCTTCTTTAAAGTCGTGTTTACTTTCAACAGATCTTTTAAAAGCGGATTTATCATTAACATTAGTGGGTATTATGGCAATTTGTGAGCATTCTGCAATGAAAAAGCCAAGTTTGCTTCCTTGGCATTGGAAATCAGATTAACTTCCTTGAAGTTTTGTCTCAGAATGTAACACACAGCTATTGTAAAGCCTGCTGCCTTTGGCTAAGCTTTCCCAGTATAGCCAGGTGTGTCCCAAAGTGATTGTAGCCAGTTTCCTGTGGAAGCAGGAGTAATGATGGCAATCACTAAAATAATACTCAGCAGTCCAGATAGACTTTGTATGTGTCATTAGAAAACTTCATCAAAATTTCTTAACGTGGAATTTGAAATCACATTTCTCACTGTTTCTTTAAAAACTCTAATGTGTAGGCTGAGTGCTGTGCTCAGAAAACTAAACTCAGGGGCCAGGCAATACCAAATCAGACAGCATTCCTGAGTCTCTTCAGAAATGTCTACTTTCTTCATTTGATATTGCTATGTAAGCTGTAAGCTGGTGAAATCCTAACTATAACTCCAAGGACAGTGTGGCTGCCACAACACAGGCTGCACTTCAGTTCTTTCTGGAAAAAAATAAATGCTTCTCAGAGACAGGATGGCTTTTCCAGTGTCCTGCACATTCAGAGCTCTTTTTTTGTTGTTGGCTCTTTCCTAAAGACCCCAAAACTGTGACCATTGAGTGGCTAACCCTGAAAGTGAAGCCTGTTCACAGTTTAAGGCAGGATCAAGTCAGCACAGCAATAATAAGCAGCTGTTTGAATTACATTATTTCTGTGACTTTTCCATAATACTTTGCCTTTTAGGAGTGGAGGTCTAGACCCTTTCATGAGAACAACAGTCAGTCTGGAAAGCAGCTGTAGGAGTCTCTTGTATGAGCTATACAAAGTCAGTAAATGTTCATAGAAAACATTTTGAAAACATTAAAGACCAGCAGTATATTAATGCTAAAAGGAAATATTTGCTATTGTCTATTTTTAGGAGTTGGTGAAAAACAAATTCTGGCCTAAGACTACAGTCCTTTTCAAGCCAGATAGGCTGTAAATTCCTAAAATTGTAAAGTCCTAGTTTACAGAAGATACATCAGCAATCCAGTGGAAAGTGGGAGCTAAATCATGCTCTGCTTATGTGAATAACCTTACTGAAGTGACATAAATTAACAAGGGCAGGATTTAGCAGCTGTTCTCCCATTGGAACACAATGGAGATGCTATTTGTCTGAATACAGTCTGACTTTAGGAGTTTGTTAATGCTTGGATAAGAGGCCAGCAACAGCTAAACATATGGCAAAACATTTTTTTTATAGCTATCGAATAGTGATGTTCACTGGTGGATTGGACTGCACGCAGAAAACCTCAGTGATGAATTTCGGTAAGAATACCTACACTTCAGCTGCTGTGAGTTGTACTTGGCATGCCCTGTTTACAGGCTGCCATTCAGTCTGACGGGCTAAAACGGTTTGATGACTGAGTGGGATATTCAAGAGACAACTTCAGTTCTCATGTAAATATCATTCAGAATATATTACCCTTAATTTATCTCCATGTTACCGTATTTCTTCGGAAAGGGTTATAGAAGATACAAGCCAAAGATATGAATATCAACCTTGTTGTTGTTGGTTGGTTTTTTAACGCTTAGTTAATAAAGGGGCACTTTCTACCTTGTATCTCCTTACAAATGCTTTTAATGGAGGGTGTATTTTTAGGTAAGAATAGGAAAAAGAGTAACTACACTCTTAACATTTCTGTGCAGCTGGAGAGATGAATCACCAGTAACATACCAGAACTGGAATGAAGGGAGGGAAAGAAATCCGCAGAAACCAGGGAAAAGATGTGGCTTCATTTCATCACAAACAGGTTTATTTTATATTTCCTTTTGCTGCAGGAGTTGTGACTTGATTCTGTTGTTGGCTCAAGGCGTTATGTTTTTTTCAATTGCTCTCAAGAAATGCGTCCATATTCAAGTCCTGTTACATGGTTATAATTTACATAACTGCTTTTAAGGTTAAGAAAAGAATAGTGCAATATCATTAATACTCTCAGAGACTAGGTTGTAGGATTTAAAAGTATATTAATAGTTCCAGTTCTCTAATGTCAAAATACAGAGATTCCAGTGATACTGATACTTTAGTTTTACTTAAGAATCTGTTACGGCATAGCAAAAATGTTAACGCCTTGCTGGGTTTCACAGTCAGTTTTCTTAGAACCAAATGAGATGGATGGAGCAACAATTTTTCCTACATTTATAAACTGTTTTTCTATCAGCACACAACTTTAAATACTCAGGTTTCTAGCTTATTTTCGATCCCGTAGCCAATCTGCTGAGGGATTTGGGGGTACCATGGTTTTGGTGCTAGCCTTTACATCATCACATAGCTCTGTATTTCACTACACTAATTAAAAAAATATACAGTGCTGCTGGTTCTAGTGATTTCTGTCATCTCACAGTCTCTGTTTTCTGAAGATCTGCAAGTCATGATAAAGTAAACATGTCAGGTTCCATGGAAAGAAAAAATATCCAGCTTTGTATTTGTAAGAAGAGCTGAAAAAAAATTAATCCAGCTGCACTCTTGTAATCTCAGCCTCAAAAGCCAAAACTGAAAAAATGTAAAACCTTCTTTTTTTCCACACACAGTCTTGGGGTTTTGATTCGTGACTTTCGAATGCTTGAGTTTGGCGTTCCTATAGTTATTATCAGATAAAAGGAAGAGATGCCCACCCTCCCCCCTCAGCTGGCCAGCAGATGGGAACTGGTCAACAACTTGAGTGCACTGAAAAATGTGTTTTCCTCCTAAGCAGGTCAGCGTTTTATGTCAGTACCTGGATCTTGCCAAAGATTTTCAATGTAAGGAAGTCAAACTATTTTATCTGGAAGACATCATTTCTATATCTTTCCCTTTTTTTGCATAGATAATATTTTTTTAAATACATGATGATATAGGCATATGTTGTGTGACTCAGTGTAGAGGAATTGTTTTAACTTACTTTTATTCCCAGTTTGATTTTATTATGAGCCCCATGGACCATCAAATCCACTGTAATGCGATATGTACAAATGTATTTGATGTAGAATCTCATCTTACTCAACCACTAAAGGATACTCTTCTTAACAATATCTAAGCTAGCTAAGAAAAAAACCCTTTCCAATTCTCAAGCTGATACTGAACTGTGATTTTTCTTCTTGCGCAGGACTCTGGGGTGATGAAAACTGCACTGTCTCTCTTCCCTGTATTTGTAAACGTAAATTTGCATGGAAAATAGAGAAAGAGATTCCAAAAGACCAGAACCAACAAGGAGTATGTCCCAAAGGCTGGTTGCACTTTGGATTCAAAGTAAAACATTTTTTTTCTGCTGTTTGATTATACAAAATGCTTTCCATATTTATGACAGAAATTGGACTTCTTAAGGATTATTCAGTATTTGACGATTTTCTTCCTTTTTGAAAGCAGGGCCCTTAGGTTTCTAAGTACTGACACAGTGATACAGAGGTTTAAGGCTATTAAGTAGCTTTGCACACAGAAGTTTTCTTAATAAGCTGTCAAAAATTTTAGTTTAGTTGAAGGAAGTGAATACTGATATATGCAAAAGCTATCTAAGTGTATTTGTGCATTTGCTGTAAAAAGCCTGCTCCAGCCTCTCTTTTCCACTTATGACAATTCCAAGAGGTTTTTATGGTCTCAAAACAGATCTCTGTCCCCTTGTTGTACTAAATGGATCCCCAAATGCAGCCATCCTCCGAAAGGTGGTGTTTCAAATAGGGTTCATCAAAGATAATTATAAACCAAAGTCCATTTGCAATTGGAGGCCGAAAGGCAATTATTTCTTCAGGCTTCTCTTAAATACATAGTGCAACATGCATTGAGGTGGCCAGATTTATCCCAGTGCTGAACTCATCGTGACTACAAGGATAAATTTAACGCAGATTGTGTTTGCCTTTAAACAACTGATTTGAATCCAGGCCTGATTGCAGCTGAAAACTGATACCAAGCATGTTGGAGAGGTCCGCTGCAGGACAGAAATGAATGAAATATTTAATATTCAGTAGCACTGTGTGAAATGTTTTAGTGATCACTCTTTGTGATTGATAAATAGTTTTTAAACTAGAGAAAAAACAAAACAAGCCTTTTTTTTTTTTAAAACAGTGCTTTTTGATACAAATTCCAAAGGATCCAGGGCATCTGAGAAACTGGTACTCTGCACAAGAGTTCTGCAGTAGCTATGATGGGTCACTCGCTTCCCTTGAAGATGAACTGGAACAAGGTAGAGTACTGAAAATATTGTTAAACAAATAAAATTTCATCTTCAATAGGATGCTGTAGTGAAGTTTGATCTTGGCTACAGATTTAGGAAAAAAGATCGTTCAGATCCTACTCATGGTTCTACTGCTTTAAACAAATCAGTGTTTCCCTTTCCCTGTTTCCCAAAATGTAAAGATTCAAATATTCACTGAGCTATATGATGGGTACGTTTTGATGAGTAATTATAATTTGTGCTTAATATCATGCATTAGAAATAAAAGAAAATAATGGAATACCCATTTAAAAATTTGCTGTGTAAAATTTCTACCATGAACACATTACATTGTTATAAAAGCAATCTCATTTTTATCCTTTAATAGTACTTAAAATCTGATCTATAGTATAGCACATAAGCATAGTGCTAGGCTGGAACTGTCAGAGAAATAAATGCCAGCACATTTAGAAATATTTATAATCCCTATTAATAAAAATCTGTGGTTGAATATCATACATTTGTAAAACCATTTATTTGGAGGTGGGAGGAATTTCATTGGCTATCTTTAGTTGAGAAATCTTATTTTCAACTAAAACTGAGAAAAGCTTTTTCAATGGGACAGTACCCTAAACTAATACTTAAGTTGTTCAAGCTGCTGTGAATATTTCTGGAAGACTTACTATTTAATGGACTAGATCCTAAACCAACTGAAGTTAATCAATTTAACTGAATTTATAGTTGGATGACACTGAAACGCCGCTCATGTTCTTACTTTCTACTAACTATGTAACGTCATTGATTAGTAATTAAATTTTTCAGTGCTTTATTGTGTCTGAAGAGACTTCATCAATCCCTAAATGGTTACTAGTTAATTATATTTTATTCCTGTTTCATTTTCCAGCTTTCATAACAATGAATCTATTTGGACAGAAAACTAGTGTTTGGATAGGTTTCCAGAGTGATGATTATGAAAAATGGGTGAATGAAAATCCTCCGATGTATTCCAACTGGTCTCCAGTTGAAGTAGTGCATGTGAGTATTTCCAGGGGCTTTAAGGACAGTGGGAAGTTGTTTTATCCATAAAAATCCTGACTGCCACAAAGACAAGGCCTAACTTGCTACAGCAACTTAGTCTTCTTTTAATTTTTGCAACTTCAAACAACTGTGGGCACAGATTTATGGGCATAACTAGAGGTAGCAAAAAAGGCGCTACTGAGACAATTATTTCTGTAATTTGTGGCTATAGTCACATTCTCTTGCAATTGCTTTTAAGCATCAAAGTTTGAATTACATGTTTAGCATCATATGCTGGGTCTGAGCAAAGATTAGGAATAAGATTATGAATTTTGTATTTTAATATAGTGTTTTACACCACGTTAGTCCGTGTTGGGCTTAGCATTTTAGTTTGTTCAGTGAAAGCTTGTGACTTTTTTATTAGGAGGTTATTGTTTCAAATTGTATTTATGGGAGTGTTCATTGGTCTATCTAAATATTTATAACAGTGACTATCAAATATTTATTCTTCTAAATTTAATGTGATAATTATGCATTGTTTTTACATACTGTCTTTTTTAAATTAATATAAGGTTCTGTGTTTCTTGCAGAGACAGCATTATAACAGTGCAAACATTCAAGAACAACTTCCACTATGTACATTGGTATCAAATAACCCTAGTTTTTATTTTACGGGAAAATGGTACTTAGAAAACTGTCAGAAAAATTACGGGTTTGTCTGCCAGAAGACTCAGGGTAAGGTTTTGTTTTGCTTTGCTTCTGTTCTCTTTTCTTACTAGCAGCTTGTTATAGGTGTCTATAGAACCAGGAACATAAAAGATTTCTAAGATAGTTTGATATACAGACAGACTAGCTCTACACTATTTAATAAATCAGTAGCTGTGATGTAGAAGTAATTTCCAAAAAAATGTTATATTCTTCCTAACTTTGAGCTTTCCGTTGCATACCTTAGAACCAGGAATATAGTTCAAATTTCACTTTTTCTGTCATGGCAGCAGAGTAACGGCGTGAAATTACAGAAGGCAAAACTGGGGGTAATTTTGATGAAAATATGATATTTGGGGGGGGGGACGACTTCCACTGTTAGATCAGAACAGACTCTAGAAAATGTATTTCTGTGAACAGTGCGGACCAACTAGCCCATCAAATTGAGTTTGGCTTTTCTTTTCATGGTTCTTTAATTCTGTTACCATAAAGTTAATTTGCCAGAAGCACAAAGCGTTTGTGGGGAACACGCATTGTTCGGTTTCCTCGAGCGACATTCCAGCGTTGCCTCTTGGACTGGGAGCCACTGGCGTCCCCGGGGCACTCGGGCAGGTTTGGAGCCCTGTCCCTGGGGCTGCTGCAGCTCTGCCAGCGGGAAGCTGCCAGAGCATGCTCCCAAAATAGACCAGCAGCAAATTATTAACCCTAAATCAAAGGGAGGGCTGTAATCTGAGCCTATAAGGAGTGTCCCTGGGTGCTGTACTTACTGCGGGGGTGGTTTTATATGGCTCAACTTTATATAACACCTCTTAGTTAAGCCCTGGGTCTAAAGAGACAATCCCCTCCTGCTGGCTGCCTAGGAGGCGAGTGAGCAGAGAAGTAGAATAAACAAATACAAGTTTTGGGCAGCGCTCACATGTGGCTCTAGCAAACCATAGCCGTATTTGACACCATTTATTATGAACTACAGTTGTGGGGAGTGCTGGAATAATACTGCACGTAGTGTAGGAAAAAGAAATAAATGCATTTTTCTGCTGGTTTGTTTCATTTACCTCCCAAACATTGGTATTTTAACCCCTTACTGCTGCTTCAGACGGATGGAAAAGGCGTTAAAAGGCAGGAAGGAAAACCGTTGCCTTAGGGCAGCCAGGCTGCAGGGCACTGGGGGGATTGGGGCTTCAGTGGGTGCTCGGGACCCTTCCCATATCTCCCGGCTGGGTGAACGTGAGAGTGGCCCATGGGCCCTGGCCAAGCATGGTGGGGATGGGGGGGACTCGCTGTGCCCCGGGCTCAGGGCCACCCGCCTGCCCCATGTGCAGCAGAGCGCTCCTGGGGGTGAAGGGACAAGTCCTGCCTCCCCAGAGTGACACCCATGGCACTCTCCCAAACCATCAGGCAGTTCAGCTTGCTAACTCAGCAGAAAACTTTCCTCTCCCCGCCCCCTTCCCCCTCCCCCCAATTGATGTAATTTTGTGCAGTTTTTCTAGGCTGCATCAGCTCAGTGCAGGGTCAGGACCTGTGCACGGGGATATGCAGCTGGAAGAGCAGAGAAGCAAAGAAGGGAGGGGTGAGACAGCCTCTTGCTGGTGGTCGTGAACTGTTAAACTTGCTCAAATGTCCAAACAAATGTGTCAATTCCTGGAAAGATGAGCTGGTGCTTTGCTTCTGCCATACTGTCCACATCCCGTCTCTCCTTTTTTGAATTATTTTCTGTAGAAGACTAAAATGAAATAAACCAGCAGGAGATCTGAACTGGGCTCTGATCTCTTAGTGGTGCATGAGTTAGGATGGTGTCAGCATTTTACTGCATTTCCTGCCTTTTCTTTTTTTAAGCAGTGACACACACTGAAAGCTGGAACAAAATAGAGTGCTTCAGTTAGCTCAAGAGCAGAGCCTTTTCTTGCTTAGAAATTTCTAATTTTAAATGCTTTGTGAATGACAAATAATAAATTAATTTACTATTTTAAGACGCTTGTTAACACTCCTCCTCTCTTAGTCATAAAGGGAACCAAGTCTAAACACACTCTACTTCGTAGCAAAGCAACCGCTTCGTTCGGTAATCACAGAGAAGTTTTAGAGACAGAAGTAATTAATCCAAACTGACAAACAGGATTAAAACTGAGGCATTGCTTTATTCTAGTAATCTTGTTTAAAGTATACTGTGGGCATTCGTACACATTAGCAAAGGCATTTGCCTCCTGTAGAAAAGCGAACACAGCAGCATCACAGAGTGGGCTGGGGTAGAGATGGTCTCTGTCTCCTGATTGTTTTTCACATGGGAGACTTTCCTTTTATTTCTTAAATCTAAAAAGTCTGCTTCTTGCTTCTTCTTTCATTTTTTTGGACATTGCTGTGTTAGTTTACCAAGCACAGAGGATTTGTCTTTAAGTGCCAGTGCTGTGATCTTCCCTACATTGGCTCACGGATAGTAAAGATGAGCTCAGGAAGCTCCCAAGCACTTACTAGTACCATGAGCCACAGTTTGTCATCCTCTTGGTTATACCAGTACTGTTATTTGTGAGGCTAGGCTTTGTGCTGTAAACTGATCTTGGAAATTATTATAAATAACGGGTCAAAAAAGAGGTCATCTAAATTACATGCAAAGTATCTGGGATAAATGCACTCTGCAACCCACTGCTATTGGACATTTGGGATATGCCCAGATCCCTGGTGATTTCTTACTGACCTTCAAAGATCCAGTCAGTGGAACTAACTCCATCCAGGTTTTCTTTTTTTTGTGTGTGTGTTACACATTAAACTCATTCACCATGATGAGTTTTGTGCTCTGATGGAATTTCAAATACTGTTCTAGTAGTCATCGTCTTTTTCTTTTTAAAGTTCACAGTGCCTTCCTGAAACCAAGGAGTTTGCGATTTTTATATTTGTTTTTAAGGATAGTTCTGATTTTTTAGGAGCTGTTCTGCTATGTTTAAGCTGTTTAAAAAAATAAATAAATCCTTTCTTTTTGTTTATAACAGACACATCCAGACATGTCATCAATGCTTCTGAAATGTACCCTGTGCCAGATACTTTAGAATATGGGAACAGAACGTATAAACTAATACGCGGGAATTTTACATGGTCTTCAGCTTTAAAAACCTGCATGGCAAACGGTGCGGAGTTGGTCAGCATTACAGACCAGTATCACCAAGCCTTCCTCACAGTCATTGTGAATCGGCTGGGCTACGACCACTGGATCGGGCTGTTCACTTCGGACGTACGTAGTGGACTCCTTGGTTATGAATATGATGCTGCAAAGGAGTTTTTCCAGTAACAAGCTAAGGAGCTGCGTCATTCATTTGAAGTCACAGGACGTTTGCATCTGGAAATGAAACCCTGGAAAGCTTGAGCCTTAACCATTATTTGGCAACGTAATGTATAAATCTAATGAGAGCCAGTTTGGTGCAATGACTACTGAAAACTAAAAGCCATAGAAAACATTTAAGAACACACAAAAAAATCTCTTGTAGGGTCAACATTGAAATTATGTTGTTTCATTTGTAGTTGCTCAATGGCCCAGATAACCACTTGCTGAAAACAGCAGGTTAGGTGTAGTTTGTGGTCTCCCAGAAGTAAGTTGGGAGGATCGTTGGATCTGTGTTTTGTAGATCCCTCTGGATCTACCAGCCTTTCAAGATGTAAAAGACATTCTGTAATATCTGGTGAGGATGCCACCGGAAGAAGATGAACTTGTATGGTGCTAAAGCATATCAGAAAGATAATCTGAAATTTGTTTTGGCAGAACGGACTTAACTTTGAATGGTCGGATGGGACTAGGTCTTTGTTTACCTTCTGGGAAGACGACGAGTCCCAGGCCTTTGGCAGCTGTGTTTACATTGATACTTCGGGGCACTGGAAGAGTGCTAACTGCGAACGACTTCTGCGAGGAGCAGTTTGCCATGTGCCACCTAGTAAGTCAGAATGAAGTTTCATGTTAAATCTCTGCAGCTGCAAATGTGTGTATTGACAGCGGAAGTATGTGAAAGGAAATTAATTGGTTTCAGGTTAAGCAATGATGATAGTATTATTCAAAACTGAAGTATATTTCTGGCATTTCCTTGCTGTAGCTCCTATTTGTGAAACCATTTTTTCCCCATAAAATATTGGCCATCAGGTCTGGTCTGTAGGAGAATGGAAAGAGGACTTTCATAATAGAAAAGAAACAGGAAAATTACTTGCTCTGTCTCTTCAGTGAAGACTGTATTATCTGTGAAAAATGATGATTGCTAATAACCTAGCTCGAAGGGAAATAAATTCAGTTTGCTGCAATGAACTATGGGTTGGGAGAAGGGAAGCATTTAGAGCAAAGTGAAAAATTAGAGCCACATCTTCACTGATTGCACATGAAAGATTTTGCTACTTTTTTGTAATGGTGAGAATGTTTTCCTGTATCCTAAAATATGTTGTGTTTCCTGCAACGCTCTGCCAATTAGCTGGGCTTCATTTGAATCCAGGACTCGGGTCTGGGACTCCATTCAGTCCAGGACTGCAGAGTCTTTGGTAGCATCCAGTTCTCAAAATAGTTCCTGTTCGGTGGTATTGATCAGCCAGGGTTTGCCTACAGCTTATTACAGCTTTTGGATCTATTGAGAAGAAAGCTATTTTGGAATCCTTCAAGACAAAAGTTATTCTTTAGCATGGTTTTTGTAATGAAGCTGACTAATTTTCTCATTTGTTTGTCAAGTTATGTAATCATATATAGCCTAAGGTTTACTTAATTTTTTAAAAATGTGTTTTGTAGCAAAGTGGGAGGCATGTTGTGAGACCATAGGTAATGTAGCTGCCTACAGCACTGCCAGAAAGCGATGCTGAGTATCACAAAGCGAGCTTGTAGAGGTGCCTTGAGTCAGAGGGACTCTTTGCTGCGGCACATTGCACGCTGGAGAGGCTGGCTGCTGCTTACCGATGGGAAACTCTCCTCTGTGCCACGGTATATGGCATAAGTTATCTTTGAGGCTTAGTGGAGAGAAGCTGTGCAATCCTTGGAAATCCCCAGCCCTCTGGGAGGTGCTGGGCAGCCCGGAGTGCTCTGATACACCTGTAGTTTGCTCATAACTCCTGCACGTCAGTACCAGTTAGATTGTCCTGATATTGCTGTTGCAATCCAGCAAGGGTTTTGATCGGAAATAAAACCAGCATTACTCTTTTAATACAAATGTATACAACCACTAGATTTTCACTTTGAAAAATAGAGGCATAACGCAATAACATGCTTATTAGCATTACTCCAAAACAGAGTGTGGAATGTTATATTAATGTGTATGTTGTTGTGCCAATAAAGCTGTGCTGTTATTTCTATCACAGAAAAGAAACTCACTGCCTATAAAGGCTTATGTTCAGAAAAAACTGTTCCCTGGATCAAATTCAAAAACAGTTGCTACAGCTTTTCCACAGTTCTGCAGGTCACAAGTTTTGATACTGCAAATGAAGTCTGCAAAAACCAAGGTAAGTGATTATTTTGTAGCTACAAAATGTCATTGTGGTATCTTAAAAAAACCCCATATTTTCTGAAATGCCTGAAATCATGGCATGTGTTCATGTGTTTTCTCTAGTTCAAGATAACAATAGTGGAGCTCGTAAGCCAACTATGAAATTGAAGGCAACATACATCCAAAAAATGTACTGATTTCTAGAATAACACATAAAATGAATTTTTTTCCCTTTCAGACTTGTGAGAACAGTCTTATATCAGCCTGAGCATTATAACCAGACTGTTGAAGCTTTTCAATTAAGGCTCGTAATACTGACTTTTGGAAACGCAATGTTATATTTTAATGGCATGAATTGTTTGAAAATTTGTTCTGTGTTTAATTTGTAGGATCAAATCTTCTAACTATTCAAGATGAAGACGAAAATGCCTTCATTTTGGAAGAATTACACAGTTTTGGTTATTCTGTGCAAATGGTTTGGTTGAATATCCTGCTTGTTACAGACAGTAAGTTTCGGGTGGAAGAATCTGGTTTGGGTTTTGGTTATTTTAATGCTAGCATAACCATCTTCCAAAACACTGTTATCTTTTGAGATTTTTTTCACTTCATATTACCTGTTTATGGTGTAGTAAAACCAGTCAATCTTTCTGTAATTGTGACTTAGTATTCTGAATACTCAGTATGTATGCATGCATGTGAATGCCTTTATTTTCTTCTTAAAGAAGCACTATAGGCTGTCTTCTGTGTCAGCTACATAGGATGTTTTTAAATCCTTCAAGAAAAAAAAAGTAATATAGTGGCCAAACAGACAAAACCTTGGCATTCTATAATACAGTGGTTTTTTATGTGAGGGTAGGTCCACCTGAAACAGAGATATTTATCAAAATACTCTGATATTTCATAATGATTTATAATTTCTGTCCTTAGATGAGACAGTCTCCTGGTTTGATGGTTCTTCCTTAAATTATTCTAACTGGGGCATCAGGGAGCCTGAATTTGATCATCTCAGAGGGAATTTCTGTATCAGCCTGAGGACCACAGATGGAGTCTGGCAATTATCTCCTTGCAGAGAGAAAAAGGGATTTGTATGTAAAATGGATGCAGGTATGTGCTTCCATAAAAGAAGGCAGCTGTGTCCTTCTAACCATTGGTTTACATGTTGCTTGCTCACCTGCTTTTAGTTTTCATTTAAATAATCCTGTCCCTTGGTATTAGAAAAAATACCTGTGAAAAAACCAACCAGCCAGGGTAACCTCCTTTTGAGGAGCCCAGGCAGCTGTTGCATTATTGCCAACGTTGGTAGACTTTCCGTTGTATGGGTGAGCCATGTGTGGGTCACCCATCAGGCTGGCCTCCACAAACCCCGTAGGATGGGCAGGCGCAGCCTGGGAGAGCTGCACAGACACCACGTCAGTAGGAACATGGGTCTGTAAGAGAGCTGAAGTATTTCCAGAGCCCATCCAAAATGCCCAGGTCGCTGTTCGACCCAGGAGCTAGATTAATCTACCACTGCACTGTCCTGCTCATGCATTTGTACTTGAAGAAGTAGATAAATACTGCTGCTCATTCTTGCACAAATGTCAATTAATATATTCAACCAAATTTGAGGGATTTTAGATAACAGGTTAGGTCATGTTTAGCTTGGTCATTTGGAATCCCATTGACATGAGTCAAAGAAAAAACAACCTGCTCTTGTATGGTTTTGGGTAGATTGTCTTCTCAGTATCAATTTTACAGTAAGTATATATAGGAACTTTTGTTAGCTCTGGGGGTAATTTTATGACAGTTCTGCATTCTATTTCAGATATCGATGCAACAGAACCCTCTGAAAAAGGTAGGTTCCTTCTGTACTTTCTTAGTTTTTTTTATAAGGAGTAATAACACATTGTGAGCCAATATTTTGTGAGGTAACATTTTTCACTGTCAGACCTGTAATTTAAAATGCATGACATATAAGGAGTAATAATATGTTTTCCATAAAACACCTATATGTTTATATTTAGAATTATCTATAATTATAGCTATATTTGCCTAGTAATAATTTCTGTCCTTCACTTTCAGCATCATACCGTGGGCTTGTAGCTCTGGCTGTTTTTGTGACGTTGGTGATGCTGGCTGCCATTTCACTTTTTCTGTGGTGCCTGTACAAACAGAATAGCCGACTCTTCCGCAGGATACTGTGGGTCAGAAACGCCTATTTGCCACAGATTAATGCTGACACTCCTGCTTTGGAAGAAAGCATCCTCATTTCTGATTTTGAGAGAAGTGACAACAATTAATTGATCGGAAATAGCAAGCGGTCATGTCTTCCATGTGAAACTCCACAACCTACAGCGGTTTTCTCCTTCTCAGGAGTCCCCTGGGGTACCCATACCCAGAGAAACCCTCACAGCTATCGGTATGAATGCAGTAGGGGCTCCCTACCTTGGAGAGTTTTTGCTTTGGGGCAGGATGATGTAAGGATGCAAGGCAGAACCATGGAGAAATTGGCTCCTTCGGGACAAGCCGGGAACTGAAAATACTCCCACGCCATAAACCTCCAACTGCTCACGTGGAGTAGTCGTGTCCGAGACCCTAGAGCAGCGTGCCTTTTCAAGCAACTTTTTCCTTCAGGAACTTTAGGGCTTTTGTGTTTTGTTTTTATGTTGCAGAATCTGCTCATGAGCCAGCATTAACATTTGGCCTTGAATTTAGGAACTTGAACTCTGAAATGTAATCCAAGCATTATGGGGGTAGATTTTTTTTCTTAATAGCCATTCCTTCTGCAAAATGAACAGTTATTTTTCAGACAGCGGATTCTTGCCAGGTGGATTTCCAAGCTTGCAGAGAGATGAAGTCACTTTTGACTTGGGAGTGCCAGAGTTTTGCTAGTTTGGCCTGTGATGCCTAGTTCATGTTATAACATAAATTAGTCTAGAGATAAAATGGCATATGGACTTTGTCGTCCTGAAGTTAATATATTCATTTGAGATGCTTCCAGCATCCTCTTAAGGATTAACTATGTGATCTCTCACCTAGGTTATTTCAGAAATTGAATCCTATCAACCTCTTTTAAAGATATTTTTGAGCAGTATCTGTTTGAAGAAAAAAACTGTTACAAATCTTGCTGAAGTTATGGTAATAAATTGCTTTACTGTTCTCCTACAGTATTTCTGCAAGCAGTATTCATGTACGCTCTTCTGAGACCGTGCTCTCAAAAGCTAAGGACAATACGTGGGGGAGCCACATTGCTGTTCCCAATGGGTGCTATAGTCCTATAACCGCATGTAGCAGACACTCCGAAGGACACTTTTCAATTTCAGTCTTCAACTAAGGTGCTAATGAAGGGGATGGATTTTGCTGACCAGCTGTTCTGCAGGCTGATGGTTGTGAAGGACCCAGCTCAGGTCTCTGCACTACCTCAGTTGCAGTGGCCCAGGACAGCAACGCTTACTGCCTGTGGGACTCCCACCACCCTAACCAGTCCTCCAGCCACGTCTGTGAAAATACCCGTAAGGTTTGGGGGGATTTTATTTTTTATTTTTTATTACATTGTGGAAAAACAAATGGTTAGTCATGATGAGTTACTTCAGAATGGATCTACTGTGCCTTCAGTCATCTCTAAAAGCTGCTGCGAAGGGCTGCGTTTATTGTTGGGTTTGTTGGTTTGTTTGTTTTAAGATGACTCATTCTAACAATTTTTGCAAGAGCCCTAAGATGGAGGTATGTTACTCAGAATTAAGCAAGCAGCCAAGACCAACTGAAATGTTTTTATGTGGTATTTGTGCACATGCACAGGAATGTATGACTGCCTTTTAGTTAGATTTCACATGCCCAATTCTAGAAACAAAAATTGCCTGTTCACATCACAATTATGTATATGGCTATTTTAAAAAAATTATTTAGTACATAGAATATTTCTGTGCTGGTTTACAGAACCATTCAAAAATGTTGTCAAAGAGGCTGCAGATGTCTTTGATCCCAATATAATTTTCAGCTTACTGTTTTCGATAACTTCTATGGGTGTAGCTATCACAAGTTCTTGATGTGAGATTTTTCCATCATATAGAATATAAATAGCTTTTCTGTGTATATTTTGTCTAATGGTTTGACCCCATACATTAATCTTAGTAATGTTTTAAAAGTTTGGTTTTAGTCCTCTAGATTTATCTATGGGACTGTTTTTATGTGAAGTCCATTATTAGAGTTTGTGGACTATAACTTCTGAGTACAATTGCCAGATAATCTGCTGTTTGTATGTATGAACTGTGATAGCTTCTTTACCACCAAAAAAAAAAGATGAAAAAAGGTTGTGACCATTTCTCCCTTCCCTGTGAGAATTTCACCTATTTAAACTACAGTTGGAGGAACTTAAACCAACAAATCCCCTTTATCACATTCACTGACAAGTGTGTAATTGCTGCCTTCTTACAGCAAGCAGAATGGCTTGTAGGATGTTTTTTGTTTGCAAGAGTAAGCTGCATCATCTTTGAGGACATGTATTTATCAGGCTGCGGTGCTGTTGCCTAGTTATGCAGACCCTTGTCAGATTTTGATGTGGTTGATGATGGTGTTTAATTTTTTCCCAAAACTTGACATAGGCTTTTTATCAATCTTCCTTGAGGTATGTTGTAATCATTTAAATATATTTGAAGGGCAGTGGTATAATAAATAACCCTAACCTCAAAATAGTGATCGTTAATTAACATCAACTCTGATGTAGATGATCTTGCACTAAGGGAAAAATAGTTCAAGCAGTGTTTTCTTCCTACTTTGAAATGGTTTTGAGGGAATAGACCCTTAAATATTTATTTTTAAATCTTTCATCATTTAAATTCTATAATTGCAGGTATTATTCACTCAAGAATGTAATCATTGATTGCTTTTTGGTCCTCGTTCTGGATTTTGTTACCGTAGCTTTTGTTTGGTTTCCCTTAATCAGAATTCTCCTATACTGTTCCTGATCAGAGTATGTGGTGACTGTTTTTACTGCTGACCTTGATGATATTGGCAGTGAGGTTCACTGTATTATTTCAACTGGGAAATTAAAGCGTGAATGATAATTTTCTGTGCTGTAATCTTTCTTGAATCTTTCCCCAGCTTTAATTAGCTGCCACGCTTTAGTGTCTCATAACAGCAGTTCCCAGGCTTCACACTGGGTCATGCTGGCAGGAGAGGGGCGGCTTGCACCAGCCTCCTCTCTGGCTACATGGCTGGACCCAGACCTGAGCACTGCAGATGATCTCCACACGTGGGGGCTGCCGTGTTTCCGAGGGCATGGACGAGGATGCCTTGGGACCTGCATGCAGGAGGTGCTGGGAGGAGGAAGGAGCCACAGCACCATCAGTAAGAATGATGGATGGGAGTATGGTGCTGATGCACAGATAATCTCCCAGCCCATTGCCTGTTCCCTGCAGCCCTGGGAGCTGGGGCCACAAGGGATGAGTGATGGGCTGGAGGGATTTTCCTGCTGAGCTGTGGAGGCTGTGTTGCGTGGGAGCCCATTCGTTTCTGCCACAAACAAGGTGGAGGTACGTGGACTGCAGCGCAGTAGTTTCCACGGGTAGCACCAAAGTGCTTCCCGTGTCCAAGAACTGCGTTCACCAGAGCCTGAGCAGGCAAATGAATGTTGTGTTTTCCTCTGCTGTGCCAACTTCTTTGTGTTTACTGAAAGGAAAGTGTTAGATGTTTTCATACCACTCCCTTGCTTGGGGGATGGAAGGGTATCCCCACCAGAGATAGGTACATTCGGGCCAACATAAGACAAACCTTGTCTACCAGATACTAAGGTTTAGAAAAAATCCATGCACTTATTTTTGCAGACTCCATTCCAGGGGAAAATTTACCTCCTCGTCCCATTAGCAGTCCTTGCAGCATGTCTCTGAGGGAAAGAGATGCCTGATGCAGCTGTCACATCCCAGCTGGACAGGAGTCTGCAATGGGAACATATGTATGCTGGAGATGTCCAGCATGACTGGGCAGAGCGAAGGGTTGTGGTACAAGGCCATAAGTGGGCAATATGACTCCTAAGCAAAGCCCTTTCCAGCTGTGCCTCTCCTGCGTGCAGTGCTGCCCTTCCTTGTGCAGGGGTCCTCCTCCCTTCCCCTCTCCGTCTCCCTTCCCCTGCCTTCGCACACACACACTTTTGTGGCTCGGTCACAGCAAGAGAGGAGCCATGGGGCTCCTTGAAATCTGTGCCATACAGTCCAGAGGGACTGTAGGGAAAAAGTACATTTTTGCACACTATGTGAGATTTGAACAGCTCTGGTTCCCAGGGCACTGTTGCGCAAATTCCCGTTTAATTTAGCCCCCTACTTTTTTCTTTCATCATGTTGGCCCCTCCCTTAGCGGAGTAACAGGCATCCTCAGTCTCTTGTAATAATAAACCCACTGTAATGAAATCCGTGGCGTACCCTTCCTCCAGGGCATTTATATATAAGCAGAATTTTTTGGTTAAAAGTTAAATTGCACACATTCAACAACTGGGCTTTAAATCCTCAGCTCAAAAAAAAAAAAAAAGGCCTCTTCTTGAGCTATAATAATATTTCCTTTGGTAATCAGTGGAATGTTGATTTTAAACCCCTGCAGGCCAGCGCTGATCTCTTATGATCTGATGCAGCCCTTGTGTAAGTAACTGTCAGAAGCAAATTCACAGGCATTATGCTTTTCTGAGACAGTATGAATTAAGGATTTAGGGTTGATCTTGGAGCTTGGAAACACATTCAGTCTCAGTTTGGCCAGTAGATGGTAGTGGTACACGCAGAGCTGACAAAAATGAGCTGTGCAAGAAAAAATAAGAGGGATCTGCTCCGGATCCTTTAGAAGTTTAATTAAATGAGCAGCAAAACTCCCAAGTTGCAGGACTGAAAATATCAGTGTCAGTTCTTAGCCATGGCCACAACATTACAAAGCTGTATTAAGACATCTTTCCAAGTCTCAGTGTTCTTTCTCAACAACTTTAATGGAATGCATTGAAATGCTCAAAATGGGATAATGCAAGTCCTTACGTTGGTCTGTGGGTTTTTCTTTTTGTTTAGTGAGTGAAGGGAAAATCCACTTGGGTTCCTGAGTATTAAATAAATAAATATATCTTTGTGGTATGTTTTGGTTTTGATCCCTTTGATGGAAAGGTAATTCACTGAAAATGCTCCAGCCAGGTCTCTCTACTGTAAATGGATTTGGTTTAATGTTTTATTTCTTGACGGTATCAACGCAGGCATTTACTTACTAATTTACACGGGGAAAGGAAAATTAAGACATAGAGATGAAAATTGCTAGACATTTTAGGCATCCATTGTGTAAGTAATCATTCCACAGCACTGTTGAAAGCAGATTTATTTTCTCTTTATCTCAATTTATTCTGTAAGTTGCTCAGAGCGTAAGAGTTGCTGATCCCTTTCTAGATCCATTATCTTTATGCAGGATGCCTGTGATTTGGATTCTGATCTTAGAAACTTAACCATAAAATGGGCACTGAGAATAATTTTGTAATAAAGCCTCACTTCAAAGTCTTAGTTTTTATAATCTTGTTTCCTTATACTGCAGCTCTCCTAGACTTTCCTGATCCTCCTATGACAAAGCAACTGCAGTTGTCTAAGGAAGTGCACTAGACCCAGCCTCCACAGTGCTTGCAAGTAACACCATGGTAATTTATAACCACTAAAGTGATTCTCAGCTGCAATTGTTTCCAAAAGTGTACTTTTGGAAAACAGCTAGGTAATAACGAAAATGCCTCTGCTACCATTTCCTTTACTTCAGATGCTTATTTTTGTTCATCGGCTGTTGCTATTGTAACAAATGCTCCTCTTTTCTTAACCTTAGCCTACAGACTCAATCTCTACTGCAGTTCTCAGAAATAAATGCTTCAAAACATAGTTTTAGTGAGAGCAACAGTCAAACTTGTAGATACAAGATGAATCTTGAAATACATAGTGGGCTAAAAGTTACTCTCCTCTGCATGCTAGCACAGGAAAATAGGGAAGACTCTTGCTCTGAATCACGCACGTAAAGGCCTAACTAACAATCTGCTTTCCACGGAGGCGGCCAGCCTGCAGCTAATGGTGGTGGTCACTGGGTGTTTGAAGGCCATCAACCGCCGCTGGGTTGACTGGTAGAATGCAATAGCTGGGCCAGTGTCTCAGACTGTACATTGGAAAAACAAAACTATCCCTGTATCTTTTCAGATTTTTATAGATGGGTGTTCATCTTAAGAAATTAAAAGTTTCCATTTATGCTGTACAAAAAATCCTCTGTATTTTTTTCTTTTAGTGAATACTGAAAATTATCCCATCAAGTACATTCCTCTTGTGAAGCTATTTATTTAGGTCATTTGTTCTAAAGCATGATCTTAGGCCTTTGAACCCAGTCATAACCTGATTTAATCTGCTTTGCCACATCTTCCTGCCATAAACTTCATGTGCGTTGTAGTTCAGAAGTCCCTGGAAAGCCCTTGGTGGAAGCCAAAAGCAAGCTTGCACGGAGCTGATAAAAGACAGACTCTACCTCATCAGCAGCTTTGGGCCGCGTGGCTTCACTGACTCTGGATTTGGGACTCCATCCCAGAACTTGATGCTTCCAGGTTCATTCAGGTATGCAAGCAGAATCCCTAACATTGGACATTGCCAATGAGCTGGAGTACAAAAACTTTTAATATATAGTAAAAGAATATTCTAAGTCATGTAAGGCTTCATTTGTTATCATCCTAGCACAGGTTATGCGTAATTCTGCTTTATCTTTATCTTTTGGGAAGTTTGTCCTGATACTAGCAAGCTTACCTATTATGTATCCGAAATCTGACACCTATCTAAATGCTTACATGACCTAGACATTGTATTTTCTGGTATTTAATATTTGAGAATATCAGAAAGATTCTTTCTGAAAAGGTAAGAAGGTAATGTTTCTGCTGCTGCATACCATGTCCTGCTAGTCCTGTGGGATGAAAATGATGTTGAGAGGCAAAGTGGATTACTTTAAATATTGTTTCAAAAGCAAATATTGAAGACTGAGTTGTATGTACGGTACCATTCAGTTAAATGTGGAAATGCATCAGAACAGCTCTGGGAGGCTTTCCATCTGGAAAGAACAGATTAATAGAATACCTACAGAAACAGCAGCTACTTTACCCTTTAAAATAGTTGTAGTATAAATAGCAGAGTGGGTTTTCCCCACACACCATACCCAGGAACGCAGCTGACATTGGTTTTATCACTGCAGCCTCCTGGAGTGCCTTGCCCCACTGAACATGGCACCTCTGGAGCGTACGCACCATGTGTCTGGGTGTCCCAGTGCAGTTAAGTTATGGAAGAAGGAAGGAAAGCCAGTGGGCTCCGTCCTCCGTCTTGTCCTTGACCATCCATCCTCCCCTGACCTTCCAGAATCTAGTCTGTGTTGATGATCTGCATTTTAACTATTGCTATTTACATATAAATGGCTTCATTCTTGCCTGATTGAAAGAATGTAAAATGGAAGTTGGGTGAGTCTCAGCTGCTCTTACAGGTTGCTTCCCCACTTGCTCTGATGTAGCACAAAGCAAACCCTCATGGAAGGAAAGGTGAAAGGAAGAGTTGATCACTAGTGAAAGCAAAAGTATAAAGAAAACAGGGATCAGTTATTCCTACTAGTTGGGAAGACTAGAACAAGAAGTAACTGACTGAAACCACAGCAGCAAAAATGGGATAGATAACCGCGGGAATAGCTGGGCTGAACAATAAGCAGCCCACATAAGTGGTAGGGTCACTTTCAGTGGCAGCATGCACTGTTAAATTGGGTAACTATGATTTAGAAATAAACAAATCAGTCCACCACCACTGCTGGGGAACAGATTCACAACACTGCTGGATGGCCCTTTCAGCTCAGTCTGGGTAAAGATGGGTAAGGCTGACCTGAAAATATTGGTGTGTATGTGTTTGTGAGACTGCTGATGCATCATCCCACTGCCTTCTAGCCCAAACCTAGTTTCTAGCCTTCTGACCAACACAAGTGTTCAACAGCCAGAATTTAGGATCTCTGTGGACACAAATTCCATGTAACTGGGATATGGGAAACACCTCCGGTTAAATTTGTGGTCTGCCTCAGGATAGAAACAGTTCCAAAATGAGTAAAGCTGAATCATCCAATTCATCTACTACAGCAGCCAGCAGGACACAGGCACCCAACCTGCCCTGGGTACCTCAAATCCACATCCATGGTAAAGGAAGTGAAGGTCCAGAATCACTACATGAAGAGCACAAAAATAAAAGGATACATGCAAAAAAACCAAAACCCAAGCGTTTTGTTTCTTCTTTCATTTCTTTTACTCTCTTTAATTTTGTTTTTGTTTTCCCCCCGAGAAGTCAGAGACCCAGGTGAC